ACCCCAAATCTGGGGTTGTTTGCCTTCAAGTAGAGAGGCACTCCTCAGAAGCACCAGGAACACCAAGTCTGGTCTTCCCCATTTTGTTTGGAGGATCTCAGCTGCTTCCTGATCTTTATCCTGGCTATTCATTCAAGAAGTAAGGCCTTAACTTCAAAGCTTTCCTAGAACCTCTCTGTCCCCCAGTTCAAGCACTTGTATTAAATACACTCTAGACAAACCAAAAGCGTAAACAACAACCAAACCAAAACCCCACAAATAACCCTCCCTTTTAGCTCTTGAAAAACTTAACACTTTGACTGCCACAACCTCACAGGTGACCAAGGCAGTTAGCACACATACTACAGGGTTTATGTGCATGGCGAGTTGCAAGCAGGAAAACAAATCAAAAACCAAGATGCTTTTCAGGAACAGCAATAACAGATTCAAACTCTTGAGACAGGGAGTCTTTGTTCCAAGTCTGACAATACGGCACTGGAAAGAGAGTGTGGCTGGTGCTATCATGGTACAAATAAAAAACAACCAAGTGGCCAATCCATTTTCCTCAAGAAGGTGACTTCTTATTTGTTTTATGACAACTGCATCTCAGCCTGTTAATACTAAACCAAGAGGGTTTTGTGGATATGCTAAACCATGCTGCTGCTAAAGTTCCCAATATCCCCAAATTCCCAATTCATCCGCATGATGGAAAAGAGGAATTTAGGTGAAGGAGCCTCAGACCACACAGAGGAGAGGACAGAGGTTTGTCCCTTTGAACTCTCTGCTGAGATCCCCACTGCTCACTGCAGAGAGACCACCAGCAGGAGTAGTGCCTCTGTGCAGGCAGCTCCAACAGGAAGCCCGGTGACCTGCTGTCCTGCCTCCCCACGGGAGCTCACACACACCCTTCACATCTCAGGATGAAGGGCTTCCTTGCCCAGCTCCACATGTCAGGAGGGACTAAGCAAAGAAAACAAACAGGGAAAAAAAGCAACAGAGGAGGTTTCCTGTTCTCACAGACTGCCACCACCAAAGTTCAGTTTATCCAGACCAGCTTGTAGCCCTTGGGAGAGGAGTGCACACAGACATCATGCCCCAACAGATATTCCAAAGCAGCAAGCGAGTGAAGACCCAGGGGAACAGGCTGACAATTGGAGAGGATTTAACAGCATTTCACCTTAAGCTTGAACTCAGACCAAAGGGATAGTGATAAAGCTGTTCCTAGCAGTTGCCATGGGCACCCACACTATCTTGTATTGCAGTCTCATCTACATACATGAGAACAACAGGTCAAGCCTGGCGAGTGCTCTGATGGAAAACCAGCCAATGAAATTAAGCTGTTGAAGGAAATGTCACTTGTGACGGGTAACAGTGTTTCCACCACATTAGTACCAAGCCAATGGCCCAGTTTGATTTAAGAATTATACTCACGCAAGTACAAGCTTTTAAAAGAGGCTTCAAACCAATATCCTAACCCGTTGTGATAGCTGAGAATCACTTTCCGTAACAGAAGAGGTTTAATAGCCCAAACATCCTGACCGAGTTCTGGTGTGTGCAATTACCTCTCTCTCCTCTTCTCTTCCTTTCAGCAGCAGCTAAACAAGGTGTTCTTGACCATTTTGCTTCCTGTTGGGGCACAAAATTACTCTGTGCAGCTGCCAAATACTGCCACAGAAGTGACAGTATTCAGCACTCAAATTTCAGATATCATGGTGAATACATTTGGACATGAAAAGCACTAGAGCTGTATGACATAGGCCTTGGTTTTATATAAAATGAGCTGGCATAGCTGGCATGGAATAGCCTTCTGGAAGTATTTATTCTTGATGAGTTTGTCTGTATGTAAAAGTTATATCAGTATAGCTGTAACAGTCATCTTCCATGCTGAGAGCAACTCATAGTACCTCAGAGCTGTTTGTCACAGCTTGGGAAATGAAGCAAGGAAGTCTTGGTTCACTGCCTTGTAGGCAGGCGCTCGTGTTACTAAAAAAGAAACACCGTCTTGTTGGCAGGCCCAACAGAGGGATAAAGAACTGAACAGTCCCCAGAGAATAAGCTCTCCTCACCAAAAGATTTGGTTCTCTTCTTGCTTAACAATGTTACACTAACGCTTCCCTTATTTTCCTTTTACTGTCCCTGCTATCAGCCTACCTCTGGGGAAAAGGAGGGGCATCCTGCCATTCCTGTATGTGCATTAGACATCCACAGAGCAAACCTTGAATTCTTGAGAACAGCCCCAGAGAGCTCTCCAGCTCCTTACATGGCTGTAACATAGACCCAGTAATATACACTGCAACACAAAACCTTCTCTTTTCAGGCAAGCATACACCATAATGACTTAGCATGTGTTCCCCCGGCCCTCTCACCACAAGAGGTCCACTAAGCCAGCACTCTGGCAGGGCAGGTGAGGAACGAGAGGGCTGCACAACAACCTAAAGTTCTGGGTTATCATAAGGTAATCACACAACACCAGAATTAAGAGGAACACAGTCTCAGCATGAACCCACCTCATTTGCCTCAGTGCCCATGTGTGATGATGACAGAATGCTTAAATATTTGGGAAAGGATACAGAATAAACTTTATGCTGTAGATCTAAGGAGTCCCACATGGCCAAAGTGAGGACTCAAACCAATCACATATTTCCACTAGCAGGAAGAAAAAAAACGATGATAATCTGGAATATCCGGGCATGATTTAACCACTAGAGGGTGTAAAAACAGCATAGTGAAAGGTTTGCAGCCAGCAATTAAACGGCATTTAGAGCTTGAAGGAGTGAATTAAAAGGACATACAAAGAAGTGAAAGAGTAGGATGCTATGTAAGGTGAAAGAGAGGGCAAGTTATAGCCACAGAATTTCTAGCAGGACTACTGTGGCTACAGAGCCCTAAAAATAAAGGTCTGCTTTTGCTGTTTCTGCTAAGGAAAACACTGTGGTAAAAAGCGCAAACATTTTACAATCAAGAACTGCAATGGGAAAGAACAAAACACAGATTTACACTCAACCAGGTTAAATTCAGCTCCTAATCTGAGGAAATCAGACATAATTGCTCCTGCATGTCATAATTACTTTGTTACAAGCTCAAGATCACTGCATGTATTCCCACACCACTTCCTTCCTCCTTCCCCAGGGCAGAAAGGCAGGTGATGGAACAGCCATTGCTGTCTCCCCCACCAGCCCAAGTGTGTGGCAACAGAAGACTTCTTTTCCCTGTTATCATGTTAAAGGCTCCCTATCAAATTAGCTAAAAGCTTTGAAACCTCATTAGTGAAAACCAGACCTGAATTTAAGCTGCTTCAAGGCCAAAAGCAAGACAGAAGGACAAACACCACAGATCAAGACATTACCAAAATGGGAGGGGGGGGGGAAGAAGGCCAAAAAGGTTTTTTACAAGTATTTGCTAAAATGAAAACACACAAATTAAACTGAAATCTCCCTAAAGCTACCTGCCATCTGAAATACATATGCACACTTGCTAATATACATTACTCCTATGTTCACCCACACAGAGCCCTCCAAGGCTGCTCAGGCTGCAATTCTCACTTCACACCCTAGCTGATGTAGAGCTTCCTGAGCCCATCTCCACTGATCTGGTGACCTGCCAGCAACAGCAGCCCTGGGCTTTCAAATCAGAAGAGTTATTAAGGGATGAGAAGGAGGAAATCTGTGAAGCGGGACATGCTGGTAGTCACCAAAATGAAACACCTGAAAACACCCCTAAATAGTTAGGTACAGTGAAGGGCAAAATTGGGTGCAGAGGTTGCCACCAGAATGGAAAAGCTGAAAGTAGATATGAACTGCTTTAAGGATCTGGGACTGGCTCTGCCTCTCAACCCAGCATATCTTAGCCTGACTGGGTTTAAACCACGACTGTAGAGTAGGAACCCAACTCTCACAACATCCCAGTGTGTAATATTTATTCATGCTAGTTATCACTTTAATGTATCCCAGCAGACATTCTGAATAATTTCCTCCTATGTAGAAACCCATACACATGTTACAAGCACCAAAGATTTGAGCTCTTCAATTGCTGAGGCTACACTATGCTGCACTTCCTTCATAAAAACATCTCCCATTAAGCTGTTGCTACATATACTCAGGCCTCATCAAGATATGATGAAAATCACTTTCTTTATATAGCAGTACCTGAGAGTATTGAAGAATTTGATTCTGGTTTTGTTATTTGCTCATTTCTGAAATGTGCTGCATTATTGGTTTTCTGTGCATACTAATTTCCTGTTACACTGGTTCATACTCTGCTTTGCATTAGCCCTGCAGAACACTAAAAAACCCCACTTCATTCTAAGAAGGGAGATTTAATGTGTGGCAGTTGTACCTTACAACCCATTAAATTTCATTTGTTCCAAAGCATCTCCTCCTTCCGACACACAAATTCATCAACTGGGATTTCTCCGTCTTGTGCTAGGAGGCAAGAGAATGCTTACAGATGTAACACAATTAACAGTGTGATTTTTACCGCTGTAGGGGAACATTCTGAATAAGAGCAAGGGGCAGGGGCCCTGCAGGACTTGAAAGGAAGGCAAGACAAGTTCACAGATACTAGAAACAATCCAATGGGATGTGTCACTCCCTAATTCCACCAGCAAAGCAGACTCTCACAAAAACTCAATGCTGTTTTGCTCCCCAGACGCTGGAAATACAGCAGTATGTATAAAACAGGGCCAAGCATGCACTGGCACTGAACATGTACATTCACTAACACTGAGAAGATAGAGTGGGAGCTTATGACAGTGATTTTAAGTTATGACACTTCTAAGAATAAAGAATTTCCCGAGCTGTTGGTAATGTAGATCATGTTTAACCCCTTACCAGGCACATTGCCACATACTGGCTGGAGGCCATAAAAAAGGTTCATCTTACCACATATATCTCTGCAGGCATTCCACAATAAAACAAAAACCATTTCCACTCCATAATAAGACAGCCGGGAAGCAGTTGGACAAAACACCCATAAATGCACAGAGACACACACACACATATTTACTGCAATCAGACTCTTACTTGATTGTCTCTTGCTGGGTATCCATGATAACCTGAAGTCAGAGGCTCGTTCTGCAAGACAAGAAAACAAAGAGTGAATGTAGGGGTTACAAGGAAGAGAAACCAAGGAATTATGTATCTGTCTTGACTCAAAAAGACAAGAACCTGCATGAAATGGGGGAAGGATGAGCTAAGATTAAAGCATTCTGCTAACTTCCTATTTTCCATGTAAGCCAATACACCTAAATTAATTTTCAACTGCAGGTGCCAAACTGTGCAGAAAGGAAAAGAATAAAAGAAAAAAGCCATAAAAGAAGCATAAGTTAATCCTGCCTTACCCTCTGTAATTTCAGTGGTGTATAATATTCGTAATTTTCCAAAGAATTCTTATATGCGAACTCCATTTATCATCACGAACACTGAACAAAACAGAACATAAAATTACAGAAACTACCGCCCACCTTGCCCAATCTTGAAGAAACGTTTCCCTAAACACTAGCCATAAAGTGTAATTTTCTCCTTTTCAAAACTGTACTAATAGCTTAACACGAACTTTAAAAGCAGTCAGTGTATCTTCAAACACCCCAGTAAGCCCAAGCAATATGTTGCACACTCCCAATGGGAGATCAGTGCTCTAGACTTGCTTATTTCACCCCACCAGGGTCTCTGAGCCAGCATGTTTTGTGCTATTGGCAGCCCCATCACACTGTTCTGTGGGGATTTACGAGCCTCGAACACTTCTGGAATCTCTCCACGAAATTCCCAGACCTGTCTCTATTTTAGCAGTGCAGTGGGGATTATGATAACATACTTCATGATACTTCCCGAATGTTTATTTTGGTCTCTTAATTTATTTTCTGTTACTCTCCCTCCAACACTTCCTACTTGAAACAGGGAGAGGGCACTCACACATGCCCTGTGCGTGCATCTGCCTCTCTCTGGGTGGAGGATAAACTAAACTAGACCAAGCCTGTATCAATTTCACCCTGGTACCCGTGCATTCATGAGCAACTCCTGGCAGAATGCTAGGAGGAGGAAAGGCAGTAGCCACCCTCCACAATCAGCTTTTAAGTCTGCTCCTATCTGTTGTTATGACTTGCAAGGAGGAACTCCAAAGCCAGCCATGCACTTTCCCCAGCAACTCTTGGGGAATCAGGGGTAGAGAGGCAGGCCAAAGGGGAAGACCCTAACAAAACACAGCAAAACAATTCCGAATTGTCAAAACAAAGATATTCTGGGCACGAAGCTGACAGAGTTGTGTGACCGCTGTCAGCAAGAGGTTTTGTTGAGATAGTTTGAGTTTTGCGCTGGGATATTTGGGTTAAACAGGCCAGCTCCTACCAGAAAGGAGTCTTCTGCCCTATACAGGGCCTATGGTCACTGGCACAACTTTACAGTTCATACAAGAACACTTCAAACACAACTTCTGCTAAAAGCAAGGTGCTAACATTTCAATACAGGGACTTGCAGTGCTATTTTAAGTTTGTATTCATCCTCCCCCTCTTCCTCTTTACCTCAAACCTGCCCAGGGGATTCTCCATGGAAACTTGCCAGGAAACATCCAGCCTCTCAGGGTCTCACACTAAAGCTATAGTAGCACGCACAGTATTAGAGCTTCAAGGACAACAAAAACTTCTGGCAGCCAGTTTTGGGGGATTAACAGTAATTAATTAGGTTGACCACCCTGTGAGTACATTCTTCTCAAACACTACTAGCCAGCAAGCAGGTAAAGCAGAAGTAATACAGAAAGAGAAGGAACGACAGAGAAGTTGGAAAAAGCAAGTGGAAACTGACAGTTACAGCACCATCCAAAGCATTTGGTTTTAACTATGAATGAAATTAAGAACCAAGCAACATCATGATGAAAAGGCAGGCTAGTACTTTCCTCCCTCAGTGTAACTACATATTGCAAGTTCTGCGATTGTGTCTCTCACATGCTACAGTCTACCAACTTGTATCTAAGTGCCATAAATGTTCACTTTGTATCAGGAGATACAGTCTTCTCCCAAAAGACCATTCCAGGTACTCTTTTAACAGTACTTGTTCACAGCACCTGCAAGGTCAGTACCTCAGACATGCTCATGTGGCAGTCTGTCTCAACACCTTGGAAAACAAAGATTTCCACACAGAAAACAATGAATAAATGGAGAATTTGCCCCTAGAGAAAACAAGCTGAAAGTTATCATGAAGAAAGAAAAATCGTTATTTTGAGGATGATGTTCTTCACATCAGGGACTGTTACTATGAGGCTGTAGCAGAAAAGAGACAAAACAGAACCTTGTGGGATTTCCTAAAGTCAAAGAACTTAAATGCCCAGAAACCATGTCTAGAAACAGAATGGTTTCACCACAGAAGTAAATTGCAAGAGTGAGAAAAGGAAGACAGTTATAGAGATCTGAGGGCAGTTCACTCTAGGGAAGAGAAACAAACAAGAAAGATGTGGAGGAAAGAAAAAAAAAAAAAAACAAAACAACAAAAAACGACCAAAACCCACAGCTAACAATTCGCACTTTGTTTTTGGAAGACAAATCCCACAAATCACAGACTGAAAACGTTTGAGGGGTATGGCTGCATCAGAAGGCAAAAGAAGGTTAGATTAGGAAAGCTAGAGTTTGGAGAAAGCAGAGGTTAGAAAGAGGGTAGCAGCTGGAGCATTAAGGTCACAAAAAGGCCAAAGATATCTCTGCTTCTCATATAGCAATGCCACCACCAAGTACTGAACCCTTTACAAAATCCCTGCTGTGCGTATCATTGCTCTAATTGAACTTAACTCTCCAAGAGAAGGCAGGAAGCGCCTAGGGAAACCGTCTCTCGCCAATAATCTCCAGTGCTGCCAATTTTACAGGTCACTAATGGTGAATCCAGGGCCTGCTGCATGATTATTCCATACAGAGTTTGCTTTTGTTGAAAACTAAACAGAGCAAGAAGTAAAAGTGATAAACTCCTGCAACTGGAACAGGACAGTCAAGCAACGTCCAGACAGAAAAACCCTGATAGTTAGCGGGTGACCTAATGCAGCAGAGGCTGGGGATACAACTCAATCTCCTCCTCTGCCTGCACACACACAAAACTAATCTTACAAGATGGAAGTAAAAAGAGAGAGGGAATGTTTGACACATAAATACCCTGCCAACAAGCAGCAGCCTGGTGGGAGAGGGAATCCCCAGATAACTCCATCTCTCTTGCAACTCCCTCCTGACAATTACATTTCTCTTTCAATACCAACATGAGACCAGACATTGGTAAAGAAATTGAGTCAGGCAGTGGTAGCCTGCAAAATCAAATCAAACTGACACTGGGATGTTTCATTACTTTGTTTACCACGGAAAGGCATTTCTCAGGTACTTGCAATTTGCTTTAGAGGGGGGAGAAAAAAAAACCCTAGAAGCTAATACAGTACATCAGCTTTCTGCAACACATACTGTGATTTTATTCAAACCGTACTGATGATCTCACACATGGGCTTCCACACTTCCATAGGATCTGTGAGCATTGTGGCTGTACCCCAGCAACAGTCTGTGCCAGCCAACTGGTTTTAACAGGATGGAAGTCACAACTCAGTCGAATCCATGAAGCCTATAACCCTCTCTCTTCCCTTCAGATTTCCCCCCTTTAATTCCCCAGCCTTGCTAACACAACTTCTTTTCCGTTGACATTTGCAATAGTAATGTCTGACACAACTGCAAGCCACGTGTACAAGGTAAACACAGTACAGCCATTTGCAGATGACTGAAGGAGATGCTCCTGCACTAGCAGGACAGCTGGGCTTTGGGGGTCATTGAATTTTTTGACACCTCTCAACTTGATAAATCTTAAAAGTTGCTGAATTAGATGCATCTGGAACACGTGAGGAACTGCCAAGAAAACAGCACACCACTAAGAAGTGATCAGTTCTGCGGGTGCTATTAACTTACGAAAGGCCATAGAGGACTGGAGTAGAGTGAGTCCTCTGTAGGAAATGTCACAGCTGTAACATAATGGAAGGTCTGGAAGTCCTTCTTCTTAAAAGTAAGTTTTAGCTTAAAGAGGCAGTAATTTTCCTTGACCTAACTTGACCCCAGAACAAATTAATTTTACATCACAGACTCGCCACTTTGCCAGACACAACAATTAGAGAGGCCCAATTAGCAATTGTTTCTTGACAGCCAAACTAACCCTAAAGCCCACAGATTAAAACTCTGCTGGTAGGAACTGTTATCTTAGCGAGTTTATCCGTATTTCCCCAGCCAGAGAATCAATTCCTACCACATCCAAGCTTCAACTTTAAGTGTCACGTCCTTTCAGTTGCAAAGATAACCTCAGAAACATGACCAAGCAATCTCTTCCCTGGATCTGCACTGTGCCTGCTTTCCGGACAATGCTGGAAAAGTGGAGTGAAGTCAATGCAATTATTCTGAGTTTCACAACTGCCTCCCAGGTTCTGAGCAACAGCAGCAAAACCAACACAAGACCAGCTCATCGGCCTCTGCTCTGGCTGCCCTCAAGAGTTCCTGGCAGCTCAGCAGCCACGACAGAAGTGGCGAGGGAGACCCGCAGCTTCAGAAACCCCCACACTACACAGAGCAACGACATAAAGGCAACAAGAAAACATTTGTTCCTCCTGAGAGAGAAATGGGATTTTGAAGTGGTGAGATAGCACAAGCTACATATATATACCAGAGGCTCGTGCTACACAGAGAGAAGTCACTTTTCTAGGACACAGAGAATAAGATGTTAAAAAATAAAACAACAGCAAAAAAAGAAAGCTGAACACTGGCAACTAAACTATTAATCTGAAAGTGACAGCTGCGAAAAAGTAAAGCTTGTGAGCCAGACAGAAATCCCAGCACTGTTCACTGCAGCCCAGGCATTTCACCATCTTTCCTGCTTTACTCCTTGCACAGCAGGAAAGACAGAAAGCCTGTGCTGGGCAGCAAGGGGGGGGGACGGGGGACGGGGGACGGGGGACTTGAAAAAGGCTTTTTAGTATTTTAACTGTGGCAGAGCACAAGCAAAACTGTAAATGCCTTGACCTTATTATCAGTTACCAAGAAAACAGGTAATTCTTCATTGGACATGCACAAATTACTGCA